CCCGGCGGCGGGGCCGCTCCTCGCGGCTCCGGCGGCAGAGCCCCACGGGAGGAAGGCTGGCACCGTCAGCAGCAGCCCCTCGGATGCATTTGGCACGCTCGGGAAAGTAGGTCACTGTGTACTTTTCTGCTTCCAGGAGACTGCAGAGACACAGGCCCAGGAGGCACGGAAAGCGAGCAGCTCGCTCTGCTGCATTTGCCCCGGGAGGAGAGAAAAATCCCTTCCCTGCTTTGGAGGTGTTGCTCTGGCACCGCCGGCATCAAAGGGCTCACCCTAAATCTCATTAAGAAGCTGTTAATGTTGCGCCGGCTCCCCGTGCACCCCTCCAGCGCTCCCCTGGGAGCGGCAGAGCTCGGTGGCCTGCTTGCGAGCGCGGTGCAGCTCCCCGTGCCCAGCCCTGCGCCGCCGGGGCAGGGACCGAGCTGGGCACGCCACGCCACACCGCACCGCAGCCATGCCAAGGCACCGCAGCCATGCCAAGGCACCGCACGCAGGAAGGCAGCGCTGGGACCGGCTCCCGTCTTGCTGCTCTGGTGCAATTTTTTTTGGGAAATATGTGGTCATAGAATCATAGAATCTTAGAATGTTTTGGGTGGGAAGGGACCCCTAGAGGTCACCCAGTCCAACCCCCCTGCAGGAGCAGGGACACCAGACTAAACCTACCCTGGTTTAGTTTAAAGCCATTACCCCTTGTCCTGTCACAGCAGACCTTGCTAAAAAGATTTTCCCCATCTTTCCTATAGGCCCCCTTTAGGTACTGAAAGGCCGTAATCAGGTCCCCCCACAGCCTTCTCTTCTCCAGGCTGAACACCCCCAACTCTCCCAGCCTGGCCTCATAGCAGAGGTGCTCCAGCCCTCGGAGCATTTTTGTAGCCCTCCTCTGGAGGGGTCAGTACCCCCCAGGCTGGCGCTGCTGCTCCGACACCAGGAGCGGGGACACCCTGAGCTCCCCACCGCTCCCTCCCCATGCCCGGTCAGGAGGCAGAGCTCTCCGCCTCCGCGACGCACATTCCTCTGCCAGTGGCAACGCTGCCAGCCGCCTCTTCCCCTGCAGCACTCGCTCTGCCCACATCAGAGCTGCTCAGGGCCGCGTAGCTGCCGGTCTGGCCTGTTAGCCGGGTACACCCGTGGTGATGCCGTCCCCAGCTCCTCTGCCAGCCTGGCACTGGGCGTACTGGGAGCTTCAGGGCGTGCAATGAGTAACATGGGAAGGGTGTGCTAAAGGAAGAGC